TATAAAGCTAAAGGATACAGAATACAACACCATATTGACCTTCCTATCTACGAACCAACTGTATGCTTAATTTGACGTCGGCGCCGACTTTTGCAATTCGTCCCGAACTGAGCTCGTGTTTCACGCCACTGTCACGAATCAACATCGCTCGGCCTTCGCTTTCCGGTCTAAGTGGGCATTCACAGACAGTTCACATGATGCAAGTTGGCACGGTTGCTGTCCTCCTTACTTGGTGGAGGACATGTCTGCCTGCCTACGGCAGCCAGGGAAATCGGACGGCAAAACAGTCAATGTGCCACATGCCATCCACGGCAAAGAGGACTCAGAACATGTCCGACAAGGCATGGTACCTCGGTTGACCACCGAATTGTGGCCATCAAACAATGCGTCTGTCTGCAGAGTCTGAAGGCCGGACAACAGCTATCTGTTCGCTAGCCTACACGGACGGAGACTCGGAGACGGCAGCAGTTGGATCTCAATACTTCGCCACATTGTGATGGCAACAAATCGGCTCCACCATTCGATCTGTCGTAGAGACGTGGAATTGACCTGGCATTCGAGCAACCCTGTCCCAACTGGTCGCCTCTCAGGTAGTCAAGACTACCGACAATCGTACATCAATGCGCCCAAACACACACAAATACATACACTCATGCAAACAATTGCACATGCGTACACACAGGCAATACAAACATATGAAAAGACAGAATTTTTGGAGCTGTAATGGAATTAACTAGCCCAGATTAACTCGGTGTTAGGACGATGCAAATTAGGCAGGTCGGTGTAACTTGAGAGTAGCCGAGAGGGGGCCTCTAACTTTCTCCTGCCCAACTCTAATTTACAATTTTTCACCCAACTAACTTGGCCACAAAACCCGAGAAAACAGCACGAGATGTTAGACGACAGCACAGCGACAAGCAAGAGTGTGTCTCCGGTCGCAGCAAAGTTATCAATTTGGCCTGTTCTCGGCGCGCAGATGCAGGCTTAGGCCATTTACTGTGAGCCAGAGGCAGACACCTCCCTTCCTACTTGGTGCCACTTTTACAGCCCCACAAAAGAGGCCCCCTAAGGCGTAATTAGACCATGCTCCACACAGCTCGACGTTTTTGAGAAAGTTAATAAACAGAGTTATCAGAGCTGGGGAGGAGAGAGCGCCCACAAAAACGGCAAAAAGAAGGAAAGAAAGAATGGAAGAATGGAAGAGATATACACGAGAGATCTACCATTTATGGTCAAACCACCAAATCGTTATTTTGTGGTGGAATCTAGTTCATTTTTACGCTGGTTACATTCTCAGCTTATTCTCAACTTCGATGCTAGTTTATTCCGGACGGGTTTGCAATTGTTCTGCACCAGAAGAAGTCATCTTATCCAATGCTAAAGTTCTAATCATAGGAGGAAAGGATAAGTCAAGAATAGATGTTTATAGGAAGCCAACATATGTTGGCTCTTTGCTTAATTTCCTTTCCAACCATAGTTACAAGATTAAGATTGGAATTTTAAAGTCAACGATTCTGAAAAGTATGAGGCTAGCGGAAAGCGAACATTTGACTAAAGAGTTAGAACGCTGACAAATATATTCCTGGAAAATAATTATCCTTTGCGCCTAATTGAGAATAATATATCTTTAATGGGGAAGAAATATTCTGACAGAGACAGACAAGTTAAGTCCTTTCCCCATGTCCTAATTTTGCCTTTATGTCTTCCTTCCAAGAAGACCGGCGAAATACTGCGGGAGTGGGGATAAAAACAGTGTTTAAGGAGACCCTCGCACTTTCTTCGATTATGCCGTTCTTCTGTAGAGAAATATGACCCATTTTCGAGATCCGGCTGCTACAAGATTGTGTGCTCATGTGGTCAACCTTATGTTGGTGAGACGTGCCGGCCTGTGCGACAAAGATTGGGGGAACACAAAAATGCGTGTAAAGGAACCTGGGTCCAACGGTCAGAATTGGCCGAAAACATGGTAGAAACTGGATATGCGAAAGACTGGTCTCAAACTAGCAGGTTTGCTGATTATGGTACGTCTGTGGTTAAAAGAAAGATAAAAGACGCTATTGAAATTAATAGCTTAGGAAATACGTTGAATGGAAGGAATAGTGGTAGAAAGTTGTGTAGGACAACATGTTGAATTAAGGACATCAACCAAACCAGATGTGCCAGATTACGCAGCCCCAGTCATGTCTTTCCTTGGGGGATTAAACTTTAATGAACCTAGACCGAGAGGTTGAAACAAGTGGTTTCATAACATAACTTACATGCTTACAAGCTCAACCATATCTCAACCATACTTGTTTACGGACTTACGTATTGTCTTTCATAGCCTTTTCTTGATGAGTAGAGCCTAAAATTTGTCTTTTTTTATCATTATGATTTAGGATCGGTATTGTGTATACACTTCAACACACACACGCACACACCTATATGAAAGATAATTAAGCAAACCCTCCTATATCTTTGTTCGTGAGTGAGTAAGATCTGTCTTCACCTTACTTCGTTTAAGGTGTGAAGGATTGGTAATTGAATTTTCCCACAATGATATGACTAAAGCTAGCGTTTCCATTACATTTCACATAGCCTTGCCTTTCCCAAAATGTGTTCTAATTCAGGGTGGACTGCGGTTTCGACCTCGCATAATCCTTATCCACACCCCAGCGGGAGTCGAAACATGACATTGCAACGTTAACCAATACGCCACATTGCCACGAGTGGAATTGGGTCAGAGGGCAGATGCGAATTTCAAGGAAGGTCAGGCATTTTCCATATTACATTCCTTGTTGGGATTGTCGATGAGGCAAACTTATATTCGCTATAGCAATCGACGACATTACTTTTTTGGTTAACATGTCGAGATTACACGCTCTATTGTCATAGCTCGACTCCCGCTGAGGGTGTCGAAATTACAGTCCATCCCGGATGAGAATACTTTCTTGGAAAGCAAGGCTATATGAAATTCAATGGAAAACATCAACTCTAATCATATAAATGTGGGAAGTTTCAACTACCAGTCCTTCAACCATTTAGATGAAATAGGGTGAACACAACTCATACATCATATATCTATTTATGCCTATTCGTTTTCGTTTTTAGTTATGAGAGGATAGTCTTTCTGACCTAGTATTAACGTGAGACTTTTACAAGAATGAGTTCCAGCTCTAATGATGTCCATCAAATGATGGACGAAAGCTGAGCCCGTTTTCACCCAAAACGTGGGAGGAGGTCTCGCGGACTGCGTCAACCTTAACGTAGTATTAAGGCCAAACGGCTGCACTACAAGAGGAACTAGCCGTCGTGATTTGGTGTGATCAAACTACGAATCCATTCTTCGTGCACCTTCATACAAAGGGACAGTCTCTCCAACTATGTTTGCTAATGCATCACATCATATTGCTTCCCACTTTGCAAATATAATGGTGTTCTTCCTCCATAAAGTCATGCATAGTGCCCCAGGGTTCGATTCCTTTTCTATGCCTCTGGGGGCAACATAAACTCAACTATAGCCTCCCTCAACCCTGAGGTCTATTCGGTCACGGACGATCATTATTTACAATGTTGAGCCTACTTCCATTTTGAGTGAAAGTGGTTGGTGAAGAGATGCTAAGATCGTTCTACCATAAGACGACGGCGAAATATTCTTGACCAGCTGTCGATTGGCTTCACTGGAACATTCTTGTTGACGCTGTGTCCGAGCTAATCTCCTTCGATTCTGGTGATAACGTGCCCAGCTTACGTCCGTCGTTTTGACGAACATCATCAAAACATGATATCTTCATTACAATCATATTCAAGCTAAAGAGTCAAGAAAACCCACTGGCTTATCCATAAAGGATGTATATATACTCTATATCTGAGGTACAAGGTTATTTTCTTGACTGGTTTCCTTGATTATGGTTGTAACTATGATAGCATTCTCTGATGATTTCCATCAAACGGCGGACGTAAGCTTATCGCGCTGTCACCGGAATCGAAAGAGATTATCTCGGAATCACTTCACCAAACACTTTTACTTGAAACGGAAGTATGCTCAACAATTATGGACCAAGAGATTGCTCTAAAGCCAACTTTACTTGGCACATTATTTACATTTTTGTATAGTGAGTATGACTGACTCCTTGGATCGGCCCCAGCTTGCAAATTGTAGTCCGAACTCTTAATTAATTCATGTTGTACGAAAAAGATGAGTAGAGAGGCCCCATAACTTGGCTTGCTCTTAACCCGCATACAGAAATCCCGCAAAGCGTCGGCTCGAAGACCGAGTACTTGGAGCCCCGCCTCCCACTGGAGGTGCTAGTGGGGCCGAGCCAAAGTCAGGACAACAGCTCAGTCTGGATGAGAAAAAGTAAGGCACAAATTGTAATGAACTCAGCGGGAGAAAAGTTAATCCGTCGATCCAACAAACTACTAGGATCCATAAAGTAGCCTTACTCACAGCCAGATTTATATAAATGATCCCCGATTTACCTGAAGCTAACTATACTTAAGCTAACTTGGATTCAGATTTCAATTTTACAAATTGAAATAACATTCAGTATGTGGGTAAATTACACATTATGCGGGATATCCAACACAAAATTTGATATGACTACTTGATTAGGTGTGATTTTATGAAAACGCCCATATGGCGAAATTGGAATGAAGGTTTTTAATGTTATGAGTCCTCTTTCCCATCTTATAAACGGTTGTTCCCTTTCCCTATATCCCATTTATCTCCATTTCTCACTTGCTATATCCACTTCCAGGAAGGATGTTTACCGACAATTGTCCCAATCCACGGCCTAAACTTCGTTTTCTTACTGATTCCACAATTGCATCATCCAAGACCACCCCATCTCACCTCTATAGGCGCGCATCTATTCGGAATGCCTCACACATTTTGGCCAGCAAGCTTTCTTCTAAAGGCGCAACTACAGAAAATGGCTCAACTCAGAGGTTAGGGCTCTCATCTCTCTGAGGAAGGGTACGACTGTGGAGGAGGCTATTGTAGTAAAAATTCTTCTCTTTCTTCCAATACCGTCGAACTTTATCAAGAGGACAGAATGGCTCCTCTTTTTTAACCTACACAAATCCCTCCCTGTTTTTCGGCCACCCATCATGGTGCACCATTCTTAATAAAGCATAAGAGAGCTGCATCGTGGGATAAAGTCCAGTTAAATTAGCCAACGTTTCAAGTTTTTAAAACCCTTTTGGCACAGTCTAGAATTTTATTTTTTCAATGTAAGTGTCCATTAGAAGGCATCGTTGAACTTATTCACCCGAAGTCGGCAGCAGATATTCGTTATTCTGCTATTAGTTGCATGATACTTTTTCTTTCTAATAATTATTTATTTTTTCGATACATCTCTCTTTTTTAAATGAAGCG